GTCTTGCTGCTCTGACTTCGCGCTGCGATCCACCCTGGCCCTGGCGGCGACCTTCTCGAGGGCCTTCTCTCGGTGCTGAATGGCCAAGCGCGCGCCCTCAAACATGGCCTGACAGCTCAAAGGCCGTACAGCGGAACCGCCACTTCAACGGGCTGGGCCGGTCAATGTTGGGCACCTCCTGCAGTGAAACAACCCAAACTCCCATGCCCATGTTTGCACAAGGCCAGCCCACACCTGAGAGTGCTGAGACTGATTCTGGATGGAAAACTCTTTCGCGGCCCGGCCGGCACTGGCCCAAGACCCATTACCAGTCAAAGCCACCTAGATAGACTGCTGAAGCGCCGGAGATCACACTGGCAAAAGCACTCGCGCATGCACCCCGGCACTGCACTGCACAGCGCCTGCACCTTGCCCCAAAGAACGTCCTGCCAGCCGCACCAGCACAGAGGATGCGATCTGGAAAATCCGCAAAGCAAGGACACTTTGCTTGCAGACTCTTTACCAGCACAGAACTGCCAGAGCGTGTCACATGGAGCTGTCAGCGCAGAGAAGCTTGCAAGGCTATGCATCTCCACGTGGAACTGACCCAGCCGAAGTGTTTGTCTATGGCCTTCCCCCCAAGGAGACTCAAGCCAGTGCGAAGTCTTTATGTCTTAATCAAGTACAAGTATCTTGGCTGTCAATTGATGCGAGCCGTGCAATCATGAGGCAATGGGGGACGAAACAGAAGATAAACATCAACTTGGTGCATGGAGAAAATGCTGAAAGCAGGCTATGCGGGATAGCATGGAGAGTCGGGACTTCGGTCACCGGATCTGACGGCCCAGATCTCTTTCCGGTGGGACTAGACATGTCCCGTTGCTCTGCCTGCAGCCGCGAATATCTACAGTAGCCTAAAGAAGCTTGACGAGACCCGCCATGACCGAACAGTTCATGTCGGCAGCCGTCGGGAGGCAGGGGTCCCGGAGTCACTCACCAACTACTCTCTCCCAATGCAACAGGCCTGCGACGGCCATCTGTGGTAGAAGTCCGACGGTAAGTAGGTCCGGCAACCGACCACAACGATCCACAACGACCAGCAAACGACCGAGCAAACGATACAAAGCCACAGAGTGCAACAACCGTCGGCCTGGCAACAGGATAGCTGCACAACAGCTGGAATAGCAGATGATTCTGTGTTGGCATTCAAGATCATTTAAGTGCTCAGCACGCTCATACGCGAACCGCGGACGGTCCTTGCGTTTCACTGGCTCCTTCGCCTGCATCGGTGCTGGAAATACCCACAAGGCTGCACATGATCGACGCAAGTCGACTCAGATGCATCTAACATGCCGGGAGAGAAATGACCGAGAAGCAGCACAGTCAGTCGACATCTTAGATTACGCTGCCGAAGTCATGGCGCGGGTGCATAGCCAGGGTAGGTCTAAGCGCAAAAATCAAACTCATACAAGTTGTAGCGGCAAGCGCTCTGCATCGCGCGCTTGGCCCGGCACCTTGACAGATGGCTTCGTCGGTTGGCGGGAGATTCTGATGGCGACGGACCTCGGTTCAGATCTAAGAGGCTGTTGCTTAGGCAACCCAACAAGCGCGGCACACCCAAGGGAACGTCGTTCTCAGCTCCTGAGCACCGAGCTCCGAGGGCACCACCGGGTTCATCGAACTCAGATTTTCCTGGAGGCATGGAAGCCGAAGCTGTAGCCGGAGACGATGCAAGCCCTCCGTCTCATAATGATGTGCCACGTTTCATGGCATACCATGAAGGTCCAAGAAGATGAGGTGTGATATGAACAGTTCAGCTTAACCAGCCCCGTGCACAGGGTGTCCGCTGCTTGGTGTGGCGGGTCAAATCCCTGCAGCGAAGCACGCTGTGGTTGTGTCGGGCTCTGTAGGAAGGCGTGAAACCCGGCACAAATCCCGGAAAAGAGCACGCTACGTAATGCTTGAACTCTGTTTCGCCCCGACGGCTCTGTCTCTCTCATTCTCCCTTCGGTCCCCGGTATGCGATGACATACGCTCGCAGGAGACAGCTGCTTCAAGCGGGAGATCGGCCTCCGGCTCCTCCGGCTCCTCCGGCTCCTCACGGCCAGGTTCGCCGCTGTCACTGTCCTCATCTCAGGCCAGGGGCACGTGCAGATCGCATGTGGCGAGTCGACCATGCTTTTCTCAACTTGATTGAAAACAGACACCTGCACTGTCACTTCATGTTGCTCAAAAACTGCGCCTTGCGCCGCAGGGAAACGGCCTTACTGTTACGACTGGGTGCGCTGCGCTGCTGTCATTGTCTGGCACAGAGAGGGCGTGCTGTGTCATGACCTCAGGACACAGAAGGTCGGGCGGCTGGCCTTGCACACTGTGCGCGACATGCCGAGTGTCCGGCTAAGCGGGTTTGTTGATATGTTCTCCTGTCAGCACACAGCACGTTGGGCAGACGCACAGAGACGGGTCGGTCACACAGATTGCTTAAACCCCACACGCACCGTGAGCATCGCGCTCTTGGGGTCTCCTTAAAAAGGCGACGCTGGCGGTGCAATGGCGACCTGGGGTCTCAAGCTGAGACTTTGCGGCACATAAAACGAGATGAAAGACAGGTAGAAGCGAGAAAGATTGACATGAGTAGATCGAGAGACAGATAGACATAGAAAGGGCACACGGGAACTCACGCCACCGGACCGCTCGGGCGGACCTGTAGCGGTTTCGCTCGTTCCTAATTGGCCACAATTCGTTTCTTCGTGTAGTTGTGTTCCCCTGCGTCGGCTGGATAGTATCGTGCAATCTGAAAGACATGCCTTTCGTCCTCCCCTCCAAAGTGCATGGCAGTCGTGGCTTTCCTGCCACTATTACCATCATGCCGGGACTCTTCCCATTCCCCCGGCTCCTAGGTCGGTGAGTCCGAGAGCTTTGTGCGACTGAACTTGCTCCCCGAGGTGCTCCAGTCGCCCTTGAGGAGTCATGCTTGCCGCTTCCTATCGAGCCCTGGGCCAAGGCCAATTTCGGGTGCCTGCACAAAGTTGGGGATTGTGGTCTGGGAAGGTCTCACTGGCGGGCATGGGCCTGCCTTCCTTGGCCCTTCCCCTGCACAAGTGCACACCTCCCTGTGGCAGGGATGGGGTTTGAAGAGGGTTACCGAAGCCGGCAACGAGCATCCGACTACTCTGCTGCTCGATCAGCCGATTCACCTGCAAAAAAGCAGCATCTCGACAGACACAGCATGCGCAATTGAAAACCAGACCCTGCCTTCGATTTGCAAGCTCGTGCTCAGACACACACGCACACACAGACACACTCTCTGTTCTGTTCTTTTCTGTTCTCCAGGACTAAGGGAGCTGTCGAGGCTTTCCGCGCCGCATGGTGCACCCCTGTTGTGGGGACTTGTGGGGGAAAGAACTTTGACATGCCGGTAATAGATATGGTTACACTCTTCTTCCACAGGGGCAAAGGAGCGTGTCAGGCCCCCTGGCCGCATGGGCCCCCCAGTGTTTGTTCCTCTCTCTCTCTCTCTCTCTCCCTCCCAGGCTATCTCTCTCTATCGCTTCCCCACCTCTGGGAAACATCACTCAGACGGTCACAAACCAAGGGCAGGTGAACCACCTGGGCACAAAACCAGCGTTCAGCGTTCCGGCCTCCACTTCAACTCCGAAGACTGTAAGCTGTAACATGTAGCCGAACTCTTGCCCTCCGGTGCGTTCTTCAACTCTTGGAAAAGCGGACGGAGACATGGAAAGTCCGTCCAAGCAATCGGGCTCTCGGCTCTCGCTACACGCCCCCCCCCCACTATTGCCGCAACACTCCTGTAATAGCATCTTCGAAATACAACACTTTCTTGACAATCCTGCACATGCTGTGCTGCTTTGCAGAACAACGCATTGTGTTGTCGATTCCATGGCATGCAGGCCATCTCGAGGCAGGAGCCCCCGCGTCGCGGAAGCATCTTGTTCTCCGTCTCATCGCTCTCATGCTCCTTGTCCGAGCATTGAAAGCATCTACAGGCAGGAGCTGCCCAAAGATCAGACCCCAGGTCCGGAGCTGACAGAACTGACAATTCGAGTCCTGGCCTCCGATTCTGGAGGCTCCGCCTCTATACGAGGCTTCGTCGACTTCGAGCGGCCTATGCCCATGAGGCATCCTGGGCTCAAGGAGCTTGGGATCTCTCCAACCTCCTAAGAAGCATCACCTCAATGAGAGGATGACATCATGGGGCTGTGCTTCAAATGCTCATATCCGGTTACCCAGAGCTAACCGCTGCCGGCACATGAAACACAAACCTCGTACAGGCCCGACCATTTGGTGATCCAAAGCTGCTTTGGGTTTCCAGACCAGTTTGCTTCTGGGCAATGTGCAGGGTACTTGGCTCTGCTACCTGCACCCTTTAGCCATTGCTTATTGGGAAGCAAGCCAGGGAAGAAAACACTTGTGAGAATGTCCAGAAGCGAAAGCCTGGTGTCAGCTCGACAATGTAACCGCGGTCCCAGCAGCTGGCAGCGTTGGCTGCAGACTTCATGACAACTCAGACCGGGATACTCAGCCTCCTGGAGGTGATGCCGAAAGGAGCAAAGGCGAACAACATCTTGGGGTCAAGAGAAAAGCTCGCACGGGGATTTGAGAAGCAGTACCGCGCATATCTGCTCAGGACACGCTGTGTTCAGCATGCAAAAATTCTGTCCCCCTCCTGGTTCCAAGCAGTCTGGCGATGCGGCATGGGGCGAGGCCGATGTTATTTGGCGCAGACAACAGCTGCTGTGGTCGCATATGTAGCGCAAAACGGTTCCCAGGAGCCTACGACATTCTGGGTACACTTCACCTGCACAGGATGTTTACCACATCCTCTTCCCTTGAAACAACGGACGAGCAAGAGCATGTCGGCGATCTGCACAGTGTGGCTCTGACAAAGGATGACGAGTTACCTAGCCGAAGCATGAACTTCAGAGCGTCTGCCTTCCAAGGTAAGCATGTAGGAAAGCGTGGTTGGGATGGTTGGGCTACCCAGAGGCCCAGGGCAGGGCCTGGTCCAAGGGCTGCAGGCCCAAACGCTGGCGTAAAGCTGCCTGCAAGCTGGAGCTGGCTGGAGCTGCAAAAGTAGAGTAGAGGTCACACCTACATCTTAATGTCTCAGCTGCTGGCCAACACTGCCGGTCCAGAAATTTCTTGTAAATCTTCCGCCCTGGGGTACGGCTCTGAACTTGGAAACCAGGAACATCAAAAGGGTCTACACAACTTAGAGAGACTGCCCAGCAGATGCAAAAATCAGCCAGCAAGGAAAACGATCGCCTACTACCAGCCACTCGTGAACTTCGCAAGTTTGAAAATTCAGTTGGCTATGCTTCTTCCACTGTGGCGATCACCACCGTCAAGTTTGTCGACATGTATTTGCTCGTGGTGAACCAAAACCCAAGTCGCCCTACAACTTGCAGACCCCTGCAAGAGCCTGCAAAGCCCGCCGCTTGCCCGGAGCAGGCGGCAGTACCGGGAGCTGCAGGTGGACCTCCTGTCTGAGATTGGGCACATGTGTATGATGTGATGTGTATTATGTTTGTGTATGTTATACATATATGTATGTACATACATATATATATATATACAGATACACATATTTGCAGGTGTATCTATATACATATATATATATACAGATACAGATATGTGTTTGTATTTGTAGATGTACATGTATGCATATGTATACATATGTATATATATATATACATATATATATATATATACATATATATATATGCATATATATATGCATATATATGTATATATGTATGTATGTATATATATATATATGTATTTATGTGTGTATGCATGTATGTGTGTATGTCTGTACCTATATCTGTATCTGCATCCGAATCCGTATCTGCATCTATTTCCGTATGTGTATCTGTATCCGTATGTGTGGATGTGGATGTAGATGTACATAAGCATATGTATGTGTCTGTGTACGTATGGGTATACGTAAATGTGTGTCTGCATGAACATGGGTATGTATAGATGCGCATGTCTACTATAGCAAGCCCTCTACCACCAACAGCGCATAAACAACAATGAACAGATAAACGAGCCACAACTAGGTGTATACGTTTACAGTATGCATTCTATGACATACATATGTATATATATATATATATGTGTTTGCATGTATTTGTTTGTGTATCTAAAAACTTATATATATATATATATATAAAAATGTGTGTGTCTGGATGTATGTATGTCTGTATGTATGTATGTATGTATGTATGTATGTATGTATATACACATAAATGCATGTAAATCTAAAAATATAAGCTAAATATATGTTTTACATGTTCTGTGATATGCATGTATGTCTATGGGTACATTATTGCGAAATCTGATGCTAACATGCATTAACATTCTGTGTGCATGCGCGGGGTGCATGCACTGGGTGGCTACGCGTCCTTATGAAGGAGCTTCGACATCGAAGATTGAAGCTTCCTGTCTCTGTCTGCTTACTGTATCTTGGGTGAAGTTTGAAGGCATGCTTTATTTTGCGTGCACCCTACTAGCTTTCTGTCAATCGGGTGAGCGAACAACTACGGGGCTTTCGAAGAAAGGCTGCACCAGAGATCTGGTAGCTGCAACCGCTGAAACGGCTGGGAAAGGCGCGGTACCAAATAGATGAACAGAGTGCAGTGCATGTATCAAGTGGAAGCGCAACCCAGATGCAGCACAAACTGCCCGGCATGAGTGGCATGATTCTGAGGAGGGCCTGTGCTGGGACTGTTCGAGTCAATGCCGTCAAGCCACAACCCCCCTGACAACGAAGCCCATGTAATAGCACTGATTCCGACCAAGTCCAGCCGCAGTCTGGGCAGCAGGAACTTCCCAACCTGCCTTGACATGCAAAACACACACAGCTCGCCCAGGATGCTGAAGCCGGAGGCAAGGAGTGGCCACAGCCGCACGGCTTCGCGGATGAGAAGGAAGGGATTGTCGCTCCAAGAACTACTGCAAATGACTCATTGCATGCAGAAAGCCTGAAGCCGTCCGATCGGTCGCAAGGCTCCATGGCATGGGCAGGATCAGACCAGACCCGACTCCACGGAGGGAAAAAAAAGCAGAGCAACAGGACCACAGAGAAAGACAAGGACATTCCGCGTCCAATACAGAGCGATTGTGTAAATGATGCCGCGGATTAGGCGCAGAGATGTACGGACACCTATTGCCGGCCAGGAACGAAGAACGGAGGCAAGGAAAAGCGACATCAATTCCACGTGCCTCCAACTTTTCGAAGCTGGCCCAGCACTCTCTACCGAGGCCGACGCAGCACGGGAAGTCATGTCAATAACACCAACCGAACCTTCTTCACTGCATGCCTACTGCACCTGTATAGACTCACATAAAACACGCGTAGAGGCAGATCCGCGGACAGACAAAGAGACAGACAAACAGACACACACAGACACACAAGCACCGAATATCACCAGTTGCCTGCGTATGCACATGTACATGCATATGTATGTATGTATGTATGTATGTATGTATGTATGTATGTATGTATGTATGTATGTCTCTATGGATGTATGTGTGTATGTGTATGTGTATGTACATATGTATGCCAAAAACAACGGCAACAACACATAACACACAATTCCTGGACGCATGGGCGCATCATGGATGCACATGCAGCTGCCTGTGCCGCGCAAGCAGCGGCTTCACGAACTCCGCCTCGCTGCTGAGTGAGAGCCGCCATCAGAAGTAGACACCTGGTCTCCGAGGCCGTCCTATCAGTCGACTCGCTACGGCGACGGTGGTCCCAAGTTTCGGCGAGGGTGAAGGGTGTCAGTCGGATCCGGATACCCAGCGCCTAGCGATGCCTAGCACACATTCGAGAGACGGATTTGGAGTCGATTGATTGGCTCCGGTTCCGCAAAGCTAAGGATAGACAGTGGTACAAGGAAGCCCGAAGCGTCCTGAACCTCTATTTTGAACCTACGGCTCTTAGATTCAGGGTGTCTGGGATACTACGAGGGCTGGCACCACGAGCCGCAAGCACTTCACCAACAGCTCAGCTGCTCCAGTCTCAATCAGACTAAACTCAAACCCCACGCAACGCCCGGGCCCAGACCTCCTCCAGCTGAATGCCTGGCGGCGGGTTCCCAATCCCAGATCGGCCCGTTCGCCACTCCCTCGGCACCCCGTTCGGCCTTGGCAAAAGCCTGGGCAGCGGCATTCATGCCGAAGTGCCCGGCCGTGAAGGTTTCAAGGAGGTGACTCAGCAATGCAGACTGACAGTCTGAATTAAGTCCCCAGGGCCACCAGTCTATGCCTGTGCAGCCCACGGCACCAAGCGATTTCCCAACGGCTGCCCTGACCACAGGTTGAGAGCGCTGCGTTGCCTTAGATTTGGGAGCAAACCCCGTCGAACCTCTGCGAAGAATCAAATGCAGCCAGTCCGCAGGCTATGGTATCCGGCCGCATTTGCGATCTGCAGACCGTTGCGAACAGGAGCAGCGCATGCTGCCATTCAGAGCTTTTCTCCTCAGCCGTGCGATACATCTCGTTCATCTCACAAGAGGCATGCGACAGTGGACATTGTTTCGCTTGAGGGCTCAACCTACGCCAGCCATAGGCTGAACCAAGGATCCTAGCAACAAACTGTTTCGGGAAGATCTCATCACCCATACTCTGGAACAGGACGTGTGAACCATCAATGATGTATGCGCAAAGTAGGATTCAGATCCGATCTCATTCTTGTTCTGACCAAACGAGATACATCACAACTTGTCAACTCTTTTGTGCTCTTGTAGCTGACATGGAGCTTAATAACTACACTGCAGCAGGGACTTGATCTTGTTCCTTTGAGACGCAGAAACTGTTTCAACCGTCAGCCCCGGCAAAAAAAACGCAATTCACTGCTTGAGTATGCTCAACGAAAATAAAACCTGCGCTCTGCGTTGTATGAAGGGCTGTGCAAGGTCTACTGACGTGCAGCCGAAATTTCGACACCCTGACACTGATGCCTGTTGGGAAGGCTTTGCTTCCATGGGGCCATTGCGCTCATGGCAGCGCTGCACATGTGCATGTTAACCTGCTGCGAACTACTGGCCAGAACGGCGGTCTCGTCTTGAACTACAGACAAGGCTGATCATATTGCGGCTTCGAGTCGAGGGCTCTAGCAGACTTCTCCATGCCTGGAGGCGGCAGCCACGAGCTTCACCCAGTATCCACGAGGCGAGAGCCCAGTGGTCGCCTGTCTTCAGGATTTGTTCATTTTTTGCAACGGCAAGCGAGGCCCAGACCTCCTTCTTGCACCGCACTGATGGCGGAGGTCCAGAGAATTGCATCCGGAATGACCTTCCCAAGCAGGTTTCATTGAACCCCTTGTGTGTGACATGGTGTGAGATATGCCCTGTCGCTGATCCTCTGATCGCGATGCCCGGAAGAGCTGCAAAGCGCAGCTCCATTGAGCAGCGGATTGAAGCGCCTTCAAAGCCTCGGCGAATGGTATCACCGGTGTAGCATGTCGCTGGGCCCTCAGCCCCCCTCTGCCCTCAGTCTTCACTCCCGACAAGTCAAGTGGCAGCACTGTACGTGGCAACATTCGGCGACAGGCCGTTCTTGCGCATCTCATCCAAAACGACCTTGGCAGGTTGGCAATGAGGCCTCAACGTTCTGCTGGACACCTGGAAGAAACAAGGACAAGAGAGGTCTCCTCGTTCAAGCGGGACTGTGCAAGCAGGACAGAAACGGAAAGAAAGACGAGATAGATAGAAGAAGAGAAAAGAACGAGATACAGATCTCATCTCAGATCGGCAAGCAGACGAACTGCCGTTGGCCTGAGCTCTGCGCGAGGACATGCCTCCAGCTCGAGGATTGCGCAAGCCCACCTGCAACAAGCGCAAGTATCCCGAGACCCTGCTGGCCTTCGGAACCTGGCCTATCACCGAGCCATAGCTCGCGAAGTTCAGGAGATGCCGCCTGCAGGATGCTCACCAATGCAGCATGAGAGTACAGACAATACAGACATTCCAACAGACCACTATGGTGTCTAATGCCTACCGGTGTTGTGTCTGAGCACCTCACTGTGCACCCCGACATTATGAGGCAGCGAAAAGAGATAATGCTGCTTGGGCAAACCAACTAATTAGACGTCCTGGTAGCTTGTGCGTCTGAAAGGGGCCTGCGGAAACCTCCATAAACACGATTGATTTGTTTCGGGGCCCAGCTGCATGCGAGTTGCAACTCAGCTTTGCGGAGCAAAACCCGCTCGTCTTGCAAGTATGGTGCCCACCTGCGTGCATCGGCGAGAATCACGAAGGCCTGCCACACGCCAGCATCGGCTTGTAATGATCAAAGCATATCAAAAGCCGCTGCATGCTTCGAATCTGTTTTCGATTTTGGTGCTACCGCCACAGTGTGGACAGGGAGCATGGCTCATGACTTGTTTACTGGTTCGTTCTATGCAAACCGACCCGGCCAGTTGCCACGGTCCGTGCGCTCCAGCTGCTGCAGCCAATCCGACAGCTGCATCGTCGGGTTCGAAAAGGCAAAAGGCCTGCGAGCCAAGCGAAAGCAGTTACAGCCACCTGTGGTGTCTGGGAACGAAAAGGCTACGGCAAGCTGTTGACTGGATATCTGCGGATGTGCAGTGCAGCGCTCACCAAAAGCCGAGCTTTGCTTTTCCCTGGCTCCCTGCCTCCTGGAGTTGCTCCAGAGCCCGGCGCCACGCCCTGCTGGCCGTAGCCGCCTGAAGTTCAGGTCCCCAATTATGTTTGCGCTGGGCTCAAAGTCGTTCTGGGGTTTCGGGTTTTGGGGTGTTGGGTGTTCGGCTTTCGGAGTTTGGGGTTATTCCAGCTTCTGAGATCGGAAGACCTACATCCCTCGACGGACCACAACTCCCGGGCCTATTCATCTTGCACTATCTTCCACTGCGACTGACGCATTCGTACTTTTCTAATCCTTGGTACGACCCGACCTAAAGTTGGTGAGCACGGGCTTAGGATTATGGAAACGCCATTTGAATCCATTTGAGATCTGTGCATTGCAGGTCCCGGCAGCAGCCTGTGCCACGGCGCAGAAGGCTCGGAGATCGAGAGTTAACTTGCCTCGGAAGCAGACACTGCGCAGAGCGCTCAAACTCAGTTTGGCTTTGCCTAAGTTCCAGACTGCGATCGGCCAGCGTCAGGAGCGAGAGTGATATGGGCCAATGAGCGGCACACGCACCCAACAGCTTTCCAACCTTCCGGGGCGCCGCCGTTCGACATTTGTTCAACAAGTCCATTCAAATTCTGTGATGGCACGGATCTACGACAACCCCCTTGTTGTGCTGCCGAAGCGGCACTTTTCCGGCTGCAGAGCGGCTGCTGTCGCGCATGCACGGCCGACACGAGCAAGCTCACAGCCTTTGTCATGAAATTCGGGCGTGAGACTGGAGCTGAGGAAGGCGATGATGGACGTGCGCTTGTCATGCTTTAGCGCCCTTGTGCAGTGATTTTTCACCCGAGCCTCTCTCCACGCAGCTCTGCGGGCGGCTGCATCCAAAGGAGATCCGCCGAGCTGGCCCAGAGGTATCCGGGTCACGCTTCTTCGCCATAGCTCCCGCAGACCCATGCATAGCCATGAGGGCGACAGACGCTTTGGTCTTAAGCAGCTTGCTCTGGTGAACTGTTGAGACAACTACTATACCGTCTAACAACCGTGGGGAAGCTCCAACACTCTAGCATGCAAACAGTCTTAGGCTTAGAATTTCTGGTATCCTGAACATCATATCACAAAGGTGTTGCGACTCGCCTGACTGAGCATTTCGTGATTGCAAACATCTCTTTCCAAACGCTTTGAAGCGTGAATGTGTTTCGCTTCGGAAAGTCCTATGCGAGGGCTCCTCGCTCGGGGGTGCCAACGCCGTGGCAAGGCCTCGAAGGACATTCGCCAGGCCTCTCAGCACGTGGAGATCTCGACTGCAGTATAGCTTCGAAGGCTTCAACTAGCGTGCTACAGTTGGCGATTGACACCGCAAAATTGCACAACCTATGAGATTGCATGAAAATGCAATTGAAAGCTCACGAATACGTTAGGGAAGTGCTGCGGGGAAGCCTACTTCGCAGCTCAGATAGAAAGGATCCATGCAGGAGCCGGCAGGATCACAACACCGGCCGGAGGTCCGAAGTCAAGCTTCTGATCGCCCTTCCCTTTTATTGCTGGCTGCAAGTGGAGCCTTGTGGGTCAGGCTGACGCGCTGTGCCTGGTCAAAATGATGTGCCGCTCGCAAGCACAAAAGCTGTAAACTCTAAACCAGGCACCAGGAGACGAGGCTCAGCGCGGTGCGCAAAGCTGCACTGGAAGACGCCGTGCAAAGCGGCAGGTCCACCTGGCAAGAAGCTGAGAGAAACACCTTCCGAGTCGAGATTCGTTCTACTGCTCCTCCTGCTTGTCCTTCTTCTTGCCTCTTGGGCGCTGTGCGGCTGCGTGTCACTCAACTGTTCTCCAGCCATTCAATGCTTCCACCGGTGATCATGACGTCATTCTCATGAGTGAACTGTGAATGAAGACCGATCTGCGAGTCTGGTGCCCGTGCAGAGCGACGAAACCACATGGGCACACTTCGGTGAGCCTGCGCAGCAGTCCCGAGACTCTGCAAGGTGTTGGCAGTCTCTCTTGCGGCGAGCTCCCTGACCTGACGCGGCTCGAAAGGCCGCACCCAAAGCAGCGCACAAAGCCCCTTGCAGGGAGGCCTTCTCCATACATGTGACCACGATTGCCGCCGAGAGCGGCTTGTTCTTGATGGATGTCCTGGCACTTATCCCATCGTTAACAAAGAAGCAGCCATAAGCCGCCATTTTCCAATCAGATCAGATCGCAGGCTTGGACTAGGCTCTGCGGACACGTCCCTGGCTCCGGCTCGTGATTCAGTAAACAAAATCTATCTCATCTGAAGTTGAGCTAGCCTTTTGTAAGTCGGAGAGGCTCAGACCAGCATACCAACGTTGCTTTGTGGTTGGACCAGCCTAAACGTTTCCCTTCAACCTCGCTGGTGGGCACGTGGCAATCTCCCGCGCGCTGTTCGCCGCGTTCTGTGGCACGGGTTGGCCTCGCAAGCATTCAGTTGATCTCTGAATGGATGAACAAGAAGCAGCCGGTGTTGCCGCCCTCCTTCCTGCACCAACCAACCCTAAGTATCATCAGAATAGGAAGCTTCCCCCGAGTTTGTCAGCCTCGTTTGTGGGAAAACTCGTCTGCAATCACGGCAAACCTGAAGGCACAAGAAGAATTTACTGTTCGAGAAAGGAGGGGCTCCAGTTCACGGCGAACTACCACCGGGATGTGATGCCGGCTGTTCACACAGCAATCCAACGAATGCGGGCGTCTGGTTTGATTTGAGTCATCCACAGCTTTTGGTCGTAATAGCTCCAGGTCTCGGTCTCAAAGTCACCGGAACATCACCCTTAAATGCGACTGCATCACTCTTGAGTGGCAGTCATTTGGACTCTGCTTTTCAGCGCGACTTCTGCGCAGGTCAGCCTTTCAGAGGCCACCACGAGACGATGAGTCTGCCGGGTGATAGGTGCAAAGGATACAGGCACAGGTGAATTCTGTCGGAGTATTAGCCGAGTCGAGCCCTAGCTCTGCACGGGATCAAAATAGGTTGCTTCTCGTTCGGTGGCACAATAGAGCCGAGCAGAAGAGAAGACATCTGTATAGGTCTGTATAGTCTGTTGTGAAAACCTGCAGTCGCCAAGGCTTAGGCGCGAGCTGCAGAATAAACGACACCCCCTTCGAAGGAGTCTGTTCAGAGGCCTCAAAAGCGCAAGGCGAAACAGATGGCAATGCCACTCAAAACCGCAAAGCCGATACGGCGCAAGGTAGACTTGCGCATAATCGCTGGCGTAGGCTCGTCTGTGGGCAACAGGGATGACCGCTTGATGGGCTGGCCGAGCAGATCAATATGATGCAGCATGGATGCACGCACTTCCTCCAACCGTGGGATGGACATGCTGCACCAAGGAACAGCCTCAAGGTTGGAGGCCTCTAAGTTTTGAAGTCCCATGGACGAGTAGACTAGCACCATGTAGCTTCCATCTTGGCAAGCCTGTCTGATCGAACCAGGACAGCTTTGCCAGGTACCGCCAGTGATCAGCACTCGTTGGAGCAAGCGCCCACGGCCCTCTTGAAGCTCAGCACTCTGCTCAAGCATGCTCCTTCCGCGGAAGAACTTGGCCTCCTCCAAGCAGTCTTCTGCCTTCTGCATCCCGAAGGAGCTGAAGGTCCTGTGGAGCTCTCGGTTGCTGCCTGCCAGGTGCTTGCCTTCCCAATGTTCCAAGAATTGGAACATGTCGCGGATGACCGGTGATGGAACGTGGCCTTGGCTGCCAAGCTGCAGCTCTTCGGGTGAGCTTCGCACTCTTTGGATAGCGATCTCGAGCTGGCAGTAGGCCGCTTCAGCGAGTTCCCAAGCCTCGTTCAGCCTGCAAGTCAAGAACTCCTGAACCTAAGCTGACAGAGGGACCGACAAAGCCATGAGCCAAGCTCAACTGGACCAGGGTTTACGGCTTAGGATAGGAATAGAGTTTCAACCCAGCCCAGAAACCTTCGTGGCGCCGAAGTTGCTGCCTCGGTCAATGTGGCTCCAGCCAACCGACAGGTCTGCCTTAATCTCGAAGAAGCAAGGCAGTATTTGCCCGATGTTCGGAGTTGCGTTCCTCGGCTTGAGCAGACCCTGGCACGTGAGCATTGCAGAGCTGTCACCGTACACGATTTCAGTCCAAGCCACACAGATGCTGCGATTTGCAAGTCTTCATCACACACGAAAGGTACGTCTTCCTGGACTCAGGAAGGCAGACACACCCGGAGAGATGCCTGCGAGCCCGCTGAAGCAGCCGCCGCGGTGAATGTCCGGAGCTCATACGGTCTACAAGTAGACAGCGGGAAGTAATAAGTAGTAGTAGTTCGTGGTGGTGGTCGCCGCCGTCGCCGTCGCCGCTGTCGCCGTCATCGCCGTGATCGTCGTGGTAGCAGTAGCAAACCCCAACAATTTGACTCCATCCGAAGAGTCGGGACTCTGAAAGCCTGGAACCCGGATGGGTCCCTCTCTCTCTTTGAGGCCCCCGGAGCTGTTGGGTGCGCCCTCCTGGCCTTGAGATGGAGCTGCTCTCTCAGCGCCTTCAGCGCTGCAGGGGGCCCCGGACTGAGCACGATCCATCTGGCAAGGAGAGAAATTCAAACTCATATGATGCAATTATATGATGTATATGTATATATATATATAT